GTGTTTTTTTGGTTAAAAATAAATATTATATTTTAAAAATAAATACAAAATGGAACAATAAAGAGAGTGAAACCTTACTTTTATATATATGATTTTAAATAATTTTCCACCAATAAGGCTTATAAAATTTGTTGTATGATATATGATTAAGTCCTATCATTTTCTTTGCCATTTAATTATAACTTATAGTGTAATTAAATTTTGTATTGAATGATTGTCATAAACATTTATTTATTTATTTATTTTGTTGAATGATATATGATTAAGTCCTTTCATTTTCTTTGCCATTTTATTATAACTTATATTGTAATTAAATTTTGTATTGAATGATTGTCATAAACATTTTTTATTTTTTTAAAATTAAAACCTTAAATATTTTTCCACCAATAAGGAGAGAGTGAAACCTTACTTTTATATATATGATTAATTTCAAAATATGGAAATAATGAATATTAATTTGGTCAATAATATAGAAAATAACATATGGAATCTAGATAAGTTATAAAACCTTTGACCAAAGTTCTAGTCTATATTTAATTATATTACAGAAAGTTCATTATTAATATTCATTATTTTCAAAATATGGAATATCATTAAATTTACATATTTACAATTATATCATTATATATCTATCTATATATATATATATATATATATATATATATATATATTTATATGTTTATGTATATAAATCTAGAAAAGACCAGTACAAACAGAATAAATATATCATATAGAAGAAAGGTAAATCAAATTATTAATATGTCAAATACCATAAGTTAAAGATTTATGTCGAAGGACATTATATATTTTTATGTTCCAAATTTTGTAATGTGAAATATAATTTTGAATCAAACTTTCTTAAGGGATTGTTTTTTTTTTAATGTGAAACTTGAAGGAAATTCTTAAGAGATTTTGTTTTATGTTTTTTTTCAGAAACATACATAATGGCAACCAAGAAATTTTCATCTCTTATATTACCTTTATTGATGGTTCTTACTCTTGTCCTATTGCCCATCATATCAGGTAACAAAATTATTTATTCAATGCCGTTTTGTCTTAATTTTTATGATTGGAGTATCTCGAATAGTTTCGTCAAAGTTAGTGGACTCAATCCACCGGAAAAAAATAAATCTTTTGAACTCAAGATAATTGTATTAGTTTTTGTCATCAATACTAAATTTTAAAATTAAAATATTTATGTACTTAGATTATTGCAATTTTTTTGTTTATAAACATATATAACAGGAAAACGTAGGCCATGTCAGGATTGGCGATATGGATGCAGCAGCAGAGTTGCATGTAATGCAAAATGCTTATCGCTGGGCTACAAAGGAGGAGATTGTGTAATGTTTGCATTTCCTGTGTGTTGTTGCAAAATCAATCAACAATTGCAAGATGATACGCCTACTTCTAGTCCTAACATGGCAGATTGATATTTAATTAACTATACTTAAATAAATGAATAAAACTATATATTTAAACATTAATTTCTAATATTATGGCAATTATCAATACTATTAAAGTAAAAGCGATTTAACCCTGAAGCCAACAAAAACATTACATTTTCGTATTAATACTATAGTCTAAAAAATCTTTAAAATGTTGCCAAATAACTCAAAATATGGATAAACGTGCGGATCTTTTCACCCGCTAATCGTACCCGGAAATTAAATGTTTTAATCTTAGCCGTTCCTTTATAAGTGTAAGCTTCTATTCCTCACCGTCTGATTTTCTGGCCATAAATTTGATGTTTTGATCTCAGTCGTTCATTGTAAGAGGAAGCTTCTAATCCTCACCGTTTAAATTAATAAATAACCATACAATTGTTTGGGCTTTAGTTATAATTTTTGGCCAGGTAAGAACTTATAAGCGCAACACATACATGGCCCTATATTCCTATAATCTAATGGATTTTAATCTCAACACTAAAATCATATATTCTCAATATGGTTGCTAACGAATACTAATATCTTAAATTAAGGAATAGATACCATAACTACCCTATTATTGATGAGCACAATATACTATTTTTTATTTTTATCCTAAACCATAACAAACTTTGTAAGAAAGTTTATTTTATTTCTTATTTTGAATATATTCGTAATAAAATAAAATAAAATTCGCTAATCTTGAAGGGATTCGAAATCTTCTCTAACCTAAATTTCAATGACGATATCATAACACTATAAATAAACCAATTCTTATTTATACCTATCATAACTAAACGATTAACTAAAACTAGAGAAACATAAGATGTTAGCCGCTACACTCCCATCATTTCTCTTAATGCGCTAAAACCATACAAAGTTAATTGGCGTATTCAAGTGAAGGTTTTGCATCGTTGGAAGCAGTATTCCACCAAAATTGGTGAAACAAACGAGATGTTTTTGGTCGACATTTATGAAAGTTACAATTATAACAATTGTTCATTATAATAGTATTGATTTTAATTAAATAAGTTTGATACTAAAGTTTATTTGCTTTGAATTTTTCATTGGGTCATAAGATTCCTGCTAACGTCAAAAATGAGCATATAAAAAAAGTTTGAAATTTTTTTAATCCCAAATTCTTGGATCATTATTTCTATTTTTGGTTTAACTCCTTTTTATGGTGCATTGAAAATATTGGACATAAATTTTAAGATTGGTTTCATGTCGAAAACAATTGTCACCGCTTCTGAAAACATTTCTGATGATAGGTTTCTTCAATTGGCCAATTATGATGACGTTCTTAATGGGAAACAAAACATGATTTATTTCTTCGGTTAGTTATGTTTTTATTAGTTTTAAATCAAATTAAATGTTTAGTTAAAATCTATAGCTAATTTTCATTACTTTTCACATGCAAGACTTTTTGGGCCAAGTCAATGATTGTGGTGAGATTCAAGATATTCCTACTTCTACTAAGCCTACCAAGAAGATCGACTTTCACTTGAGAAACAAAGAGTAAGCTTACAAATTTTCAAGTTTAAATTAACAATTCATGAAAATACTTGGTAGGAAATTTCTATTATTTTCAAATATTAATTATTCGCTATAATAGGGGTACTCGGGTGTTATGTACACTGTGGGGAAAATTTTCTGAATCACTAAGTCAAGCATGTCAAGAATCGACGGATGGTATTGTATTTTGTTTGATACGATTTGCCAAAGTCAATGTTTTCAACGGTAACATAACAATTTACGTGACATATGGTTTTACATCAAAATATATCATGTATATAGACTAAAAGACTTTCGCAATTACAATCATATATATTTATTCACTACTTCAGATGTTTGGAGTGTTTCTAATTCTTATGACTCATCACAATTGCTTACTAATATGGCCATACCTATGTTTGAAGACACTAAGAAAAGGTATGTTTCCGAAAAAGATTAATATTAGTAATTATCTACTCGATAAATGTTACAACTAATATCATTTTATTTTGAATATTATGTAAACAGCCTTACCAGTGATGGTGTGGAATTGACGGTCGTGGTTAACTTACAGACAACTGTCTTTTTTGGTCGTACTGAAAAAGAAGACATGGTTGAGTATCCTATCATGACTATTGAGGAACTGTTGCAAGCAACTGAGGTGGTTTCATATTTTTGTTTACTTATTTTAAGAAGATGTTTTATCTTACAATCCATTCCACTCACATGTCCTTTTACACGATTTTAGGTAGGATCGTGTCGCACTCTTTGTACGGTTAAAGAAAATGATACCGACTATTCTTGGTTCTATTATGCATGTCAAAAATGCAACAAAAAACCATCAAGGAGGATGTCATTAAGCTGGAAGATGTTAAAACAAAATCTATACCAAAATTCTGGTGTGAGGTCTGTAAAAATTACGCTAAAGGCGTCTCTCCAAAGTGAGTTTTTTTAAAACAAAATCTTTTTATATTCTGATGAAAGTTGATTCATTTTATTTAGTATTGATATGTGTTGTCATTTTCATATAATAAGGTTCTGGATCCACCTTAATGTCATGGACCATACTGGTGACACAAGAATTATGTTGTTTGACAGTTTTGCTAAAGAAATAGTTGGGACGGCTGCAACTGAAATCATATCTAAAGGGTCATTTGATCTGGTATATTATTTATTATTATTATACTAAATAAGAATTTCATCAGAATACATTACTAACTCAATGATTATATAGTTTGAAGATCCCACAGATTTGCCAGATCCGATCAAAGCTTTAGTTGGGAAATCATTTGATTTCCTTCTTTGCATCGCGCCCAAACATATTCATGGTAAATGTGACATTTATAGGATTGCACAAGTTTCTGATGGGAAAATTTCATCAGTCCCTGAAATTTCCTTATCAGATACATATGTTGATCAATCATCATTTTACTCGGCTGATCAGGTTAATAGTTTTAAAATGTTTATTTATCAATAATAAGGATTAGGATTTATATATCATCTCTCACATATTTAAATTTTATAAGGGTTCTCTGATGATAAGCGATGGTGCTGAGACCTCTGAAGTTGGTATCTCTACTTCCTCAACTCCATCATCAAAAAGGGATTCGAATAACCTGGAAGAAGGAGATGTCCAGTCATCAACATCCAAAAAGCAATGTTCGAAGATGGGTGGACTAGATGATGTCAAAGTTGCTACAAAGGATGAGAAGGAAAAACATAAACTTGACTAATTTTCTGTCTCGGTTTTACAAACATTCTAAGCTTTTTTTATTCTTTTCTTTCAGAACTATTTCCTTGTTTGGTTTAATTTATTTAGTTTGGATTATCTATTGCTTTTATATATTTTGATCGGTTTTAATATTTTTTAATTTTTTAAAGTAATGGGTTTAACTGAAATTAAACCAAAAACGTAGGCCCAAGATTAGCCCAAATTTTTATATGATTAGATTATACAATTATTACATAAAATGGGTTAAAATAACATACAAAGGAAAAAACCAAGTTCCAATAAATGTTTTGCATAGGAAAAATAATATTACTCATGATTATCATTACTCTATCCTATACATAGATCAGCTTTTCGATTGAATACATCTTTTAAAAATTCACAATTGACGAAAAATCATGAGGAGAATAATTGAAAATTGTAGTTATGTAGTGTAATTTGTATTTCTTTGTAAATCCTCATTACTGAATACATCATTTTATGATATATTACTATTATACTTACCAAATATTCTTATGTTTTGAAAATCACTTTCATGCACACCCTTATATATATTTATCAGACATCTCATAGATCATTGAAAAAATTAAACTGATATAAACTTATCTTACATATGTATACCAAATAGTCAACATTTATACAAAAGCTAAAGTCTATGATGTGATTGATATGGAAACTAGAAGACACTAATATCTTTTATATTGATCTCAATTGACTCTAAAATCTTATATAATAAAACAAGGTTTCTTCTAACTTTGCCTCACAAAGCGACATTTTTGACTCTATATTCTTGACATGTGTCACTTTTATTAATTTCTAATTTAACATTTTTAAATTATGTATTTGTGATATTGTATTGTAAGTTATAAGATATGTATTGTTTGATTTTTTTAAAAGTGTCATTGTTGCAAAAAAATATTTTCCCTAATTTTAGTTTCAATTTAAATTAAATATCATATAAGGTAAACATAAAATGGAGTAGTTAAAAAAAATTTTCTTTGTATTCAAAGAAAATTGGTATGAGTTTTTTTCCTTAAGATTTAAAGTTCAAAAATCACATAAAAATTTCCTCCTCCTTTTAAAGTATTTTTCTTAAAGTTACTAATATGGGTAATAAATTATTTATAACATAGTTTCAATTTAAATTAAATATCATATAAGCTAAACATAAAATGGAGTAGTTAAAATGTTTTTCTTTGTATTCAAAGAAAATTGATATGAGTTTTTTTCCTTAAGATTTAAAGTTCAAAAATCACATAAATATTTCCTCCTCCTTTTAAAGTATTTTACCTAAAGTTACTAATATAGGTAATAAATTATTTATAACATATTTTCATAATTTTTGAAAACTAAGTTTATAATAAAATAATAAAAGAGATTTTTTTTTTTACTTTAGCATGGTGAAATCTATGGTAAATAATGAAATTAAAGAAATTTTGATTGTTTTCAGTATAATAAATTAGTACGTCTAAAATATTTAAATAAAGTAACTATTTAACCAAAAAATATTCTATTAGTTAATTTACTATTATTTAATTTAGAAAACAAAAATTATTTAATTTACTATTATTAAACAGTTAAGAGAGGAAACACAGTCTAATAGAATATAATTCATGAAATTTAATCAAAAAATAATTATCATATTATTCAGAAATTATATATATAAAAAGAAAGTTTCACTCTCTTCTTATTGGTTCACTTGGCATGTAACTTAAAAAGAATATTATGTATTATCATATATATATATGATTCACAATTTAATATAAAACGGAAAAACAAATAAAACACAAAACACATTTAGTCATAAACATTAAACTCACACTT